CTATATGTTTTAAACAGTTTCAATAGAAATAATTGTAAGAAGACTTATATATATTTTGCGCTATAATACTTATTCCTTATTCCTTCATATTATATGTTTTGACCTGTTACCACCAAAGAAAACTAAGATCATTAACTGTTTCGGAATACAAAGGAAAATTAGAAATCTTGCAACATTAACAACCTGGGCAAAATTTACTTCATGTTTTTCTTTATTTCATCTTTCAGAGTGAATTTAAAACATTCTAGTTTTCGTTAAGACACTTAAAACAAGATAGAAACATAATGAATATTCGGGAGATAGCTAATTCATTTCATTTAAATCTTATCTTTTAAGTACCAATACTTAGCAATGTATGTACGAAGGGCTTGAATTCAATTTAACCAGATTGTGATAATTAAAAAAACATATCTTCTTCTATTTAGCTAACTCGTTTACTTTTCTTTCATAAAAATGGCTATCTATCGAACATGATACGTATAACAAAACCACTTTATCTGTATTTGCAGTTCATGCCTTATATTCCTGTAGATATATCAAATGATTACTTGAATTATATCATATGTAAAAAAAAATGCTGATATCTTTCAGAAATACCATACCTAATAACAACAACTTTTATATAAAAGGAGGAACAAATTCACTAACAATCATCATTTCCAACATGAAGTGCCTTATCCTCATAGCAGCTCTCGTAGCCCTTTCTTACGCCAAACCAGCAGCCAAGATTGTTGGTGGTATTGATGTCAGTCCCCCTGGCAAATACCCATGGCAAGGATCTCTTCAAAGTTTGTCCAACTTTCACACTTGCGGAGCCGTCGTCATCTCCAACAAATATGTTTTGACCGCTGCTCATTGTGTTACCAACCAAAGTCCATCTACCAGAAAGGTTGTTTTAGGAATGCACGATAAGGACACCCGTCAACAAGGACAACCCACCGATTACAGTCTCGAAAAGATCGCTTCTCACCCAGACTATGCCGCTGGACCAAGCGGAGGTTATTGGAGAAATGATGCTGCCGTCTTGACTGTCGTTGGAACCATCACCTTCAACAACTTTGTCCAAGCTATTGGTATGGCTGATGAAAACTCTCCAGACTTTGCCGACAATGAAGATTGCATCATCTCTGGATGGGGTCGTCTCTACGGTTTGGGACCATCTCCCAACATACTTCAAGAAGCCAACATTGACGTTCTTTCCTTCGCCGAATGTCAAGCCAACAGACCAGGACAAATCCACGATTATCACATTTGCGTCGGAAAGAGAGCAACCGCTGACCAAGGAGCCTGTCAAGGAGATTCCGGTGGCCCATTGGCTTGCCCACACAACGGAAACTGGGTTGTTGCCGGTCTTACTTCATGGGGAAATGGTTTCTGCGCCACCACCCAAGCTTCCGTCTACGCCAAAGTCGGATTCGCCGGAATCAGACAATTCATCAGAACCGAAACTGGAATGTAAATTCTTAAATAAAATATCTTTTCATAAAATTTAACAATAAAACTCAGAGTTTTCGTCTTATATTTATTCTGACATTGAAATTGCTTTTCTAAAATCATATCGTAATTTACTTTCGGCCAATTGCTTTCATTCTTATTGACTACACAATTAATTCATCGAATTGTTTCCTGCGAATCGGTTTCTCTCACCTACAGTTACAGATTGAGGCTAACTAAAGACCAATAATTAGGCATAAAATGTAGGTCTCTCCAGCCTTAACTATTAGTTAATGTGTTCAAGAAATTGATAAAAGTTTTTTGCGAGCTTTGCTTAGAGAGTTTACCTTTTCATTACTATTTGCGAAGTTTTTCGATTATTTTGCTAGAAAAACTACAAATAGTTACAAAAAAAAACTTTGAGAACGCTTAGTAAAATTTCATTCATCAGAATATTTTTATCAGCATCTGACCTTTTCTAAGACAAAATTCCACGATTTTTCCTATTGCACTGTTAATAAGTTTTCAAGTTATTGAATTTGCTGTTGACTAAGGATTAAGAAGAAATCGTAGTCTTCGCCGTTAGACGGTATATAATAATAGATTGCGTTGTCTGAACTGGGAAGACAATGTTTCAAGCGAATTTCAAGAGAGTTGTAGGCGGGGAAAGTGAAAGAGTTTGAAGGGCGTAATGAATATTGAGTGAATCGTTAAATGAAAGTGTGAAAACCGATGGCGAGGTTTATAATAAAAATGAAATAAATAACAAAAGTAGAGTTTTGTTGTTAAATTTTAAGATAATATCTTTTATTTAAGAAATTACATTCCAGTTTCGGTTCTGATGAATTGTCTGATTCCGGCGTTTCCAACTCTAGCGTAGACGGAAGCTTGGGTGGTGGCGCAGAAACCATTTCCCCATGAAGTAAGACCGGCAACAACCCAGTTTCCGTTGTGTGGGCAAGCCAATGGGCCACCGGAATCTCCTTGACAGGCTCCTTGGTCAGCGGTTGCTCTCTTTCCGACGCAAATGTGATAATCGTGGATTTGTCCTGGTCTGTTGGCTTGACATTCGGCGAAGGAAAGAACGTCAATGTTGGCTTCTTGAAGTATGTTGGGAGATGGTCCCAAACCGTAGAGACGACCCCATCCAGAGATGATGCAATCTTCATTGTCGGCAAAGTCTGGAGAGTTTTCATCAGCCATACCAATAGCTTGGACAAAGTTGTTGAAGGTGATGGTTCCAACGACAGTCAAGACGGCAACATCATTTCTCCAATAACCTCCGCTTGGTCCAGCAGCATAGGTTGGGTGAGTAACGATCTTTTCGAGACTGTAATCGGTGGGTTGTCCTTGTTGACGAGTGTCCTTATCGTGCATTCCCAAAACAACCTTTCTGGTAGCTGGGGTTTGGCTAATAACGCAATGGGCAGCGGTCAAAACATATTTGTTGGAGACGACGACGGCTCCGCAAGAGTGAAAGTCGGAGAAACTTTGCATAGATCCTTGCCATGGGTATTTGCCTGGTGGGCTAACATCGACTCCACCAACAATTCTGGCTGCTGGTTTAGCGTAAGAAAGGGCTACGAGAGCTGCTACGAGGATAAGGCACTTCATGTTGGAAATGATAATTGTCAATGAATATGTGTCTCCTTTTATACGAATAATATTTGTTTAACACACGGTAATTCTCGTGACTATTCATTGAAATAAAATGAGAAGGTTATCAATTGTAAGTTATTTTGTTATATATAAAAAAAGGATGAGAACCACATATGCATTTTTCTTTTATGAATTATTTTTCAAAATTGTAAGATAAGATAAACACTTAGTGTTTTTTTTTAATGAACAAGGAGTTTTTTTTCGTTTGTGTTATACATTTGTTTATTAATAGACATAGTAGTACAGTTTAATTAAATATTATAGGTAAGCGGATATTGAAATCCCCTACTATTGGAAATTTTTTATTTAGTATTTCCGTATTTTTGTTGAGAAATGTAAAAATTAAATATGGCAGATTGAATAACCTTTTCATTCTCAACTTGTTGTTTGGTAATTTTAGCTTGGACATAGAAACAGGCTATATGGTTAGAAGCTCTTATAGGTGTTTTTACAAGAAATAATTTTTTGGGTGACCATTTGATATTCATGCGAAAATTATAGACAAATCGTTAAGGATTTATCCTTTTTTTTACTTTTTTCTGCCACCAGTTGCTTTAATAGATGAAACCGAGATAGAGATGGGAAATTAGCCATCTTTGTGCGGTTTACAATATAGTTCGTGTATCGTTTAAGTTTATTAATAAATTGATTAAATTTCAACAAACACATTTCTTGAACTATTTATGTTATACATATTTTAAATTTTTAAGGGTATCATACTACTATCCATTGTTTTTGTTAGATGGATAAGGTCAATAAGTGGGGAATTAGCTCAGCGGTAGAGCGCTCGCTTAGCATGCGAGAGGTCCCGGGATCGATCCCCGGATTCTCCAAGGTTTTTTTTGGTTTTTGTAATAATAAAAGTATAAAATTTATAAAACAATACGAGTATGAATGCTACTTTTTCTACTGTTAGAAAGATATTTTTCTTCTCAAGTTAGAGAGAGAGAGAAAGAAAAGAGAGTATTTTCAACCCTGGGAATGATCTAATTATAGAAATAGAGACGTACAATATTATAATAGAAATGACATAAGATTGTAAAGAATTTCGCAAGTACTATAAAGCAAAGTCACGAATCAAGTGATTTATTTTCATATCGGCGATATCATTGATTTAATAAAACACTTTTTCTCAACAAAAAAATCCCTTTTTCAGTAGTTTTTAAGTGTTAAAATTAATTAACTGTATTGAAAATAGTCTCAAGGTTAAAGGGATAAATTTTCTATATATATACAAAATTGTCTATTATTCTAGATTTAGACGACAAATGTCTCTTTTTATAGCTGAAATCTGTCTGCTAGACACCATGTCGACAATTAACAATAAATAATATTTAATGCTAACAGAAGCTCTTTACTGTTTAGCAATAGTATAACCGATCCTATGTAAGGTGTTTAGTTGATTTTTCTTATTATTTAAAAGGAATTTATCTGAAATCTATTACAAGATTTCAAAAGAGTAGATTATCATTTTATAAAACAAATTCAATTATTACTGTTCAATTCTATATAGGCAAGAAAAAATTGAATAGCAAATCGGCCGTTATAAGCTTATAAGTTCTATATTTAAGAAAGTAAACGCATTACGTAGAAAATAAAAACAAAATAAAGACAAAGTCCAACAGTTTACTTTTCATTGAAAACAATAAGACATTTCTTGAATAGCTTGAATACCGAATGAATTATATATCGATTTTACGTTTAGAGCAGTATTGGCAGTTCTGTACGATGTATCAACAATAAAACAAAATAAAACTCGACAACATATAACTAATACTTATTTATATACAATCTATACAGATTGCTTTTCATTTCTCTGATACGGCTTATCTATTTATAAATGACATAAGCCAAAATATAATGATCGTTTAATCATATCAATCTAAACACAAACAGAGAAAATGTTACGTATCCTTCAATCTTCAATCCTTTATTTACATTTTAAGCTTTTAAATGCTGTAAATAGATTTCTATTATTGAAATACTTTAATCGGCGTATTTTCTTTGATTTTAATTGAAGTTTACTTAAATTTCCAACAATACCATTTGACGTAATAGTATTAAAATACGTCTTTTTTATATATATGTTAAAATATGTTAGTTGTTTATGAACGTTCTTCCTTCTATTTATTTTCACTATTAGATTCTCCTTTTCTTTGCTGGACAATAAAATCATATTCTTAAATTTTATTACTTTTAAATCGTTTCCATTGTATGTTGCGTAATGCATATTCCAGTTACATAACGATTGATCAATAAAATATACTCCACTCTGATTAATTGTTGTTATTCCTGCTTTTGTAATTAATTTCACTTGAACTATATGATTGTCTTTTGTTGTTGTAACGTTTAATAGAGTTCTTGTTAAAGGATCATCCAAAACATTAATCGAGTTGTGAGATTTATCCTTAAGATGCTGGCAAGTAAGCTTTTCAATGGAATTTTCCAAACCTATTAATAATCTCTGTCTAATATGAAAATGTCTAGTAATGGAAGAAGAGAGCTTTATAATCTTAATTGCCACATCAACTTTCCATATTGCGATATGATAAGGTTTATATTTAATTTCCAACCAAACACTTTCATTGGGATATTTCATTAATTCATTTACATTTTTAACTCGAACTCGAAAGTGAATTTCATTCATTTGCTTTCTCAGTAGAAGCTTTGTATTCCAGTAAGATTTTTCCTTTAAAAGTGTTTGCAAATGAAAATTATGAAGAAACTCATTTGAGGATGACCTTAAATTGAATTTATAATTGGACGGTAGTGAGTAGTCTTTTTCCAATTTTATTGCTGATTTCACTATATACAATTTATAAAATGTATAAACATCATTATATTTTAATGTCAAAAACTCACATCTTCGATACTTTGTTGTGTATGGAGGAGATTGCAACGTAATCTTTCCAACATGCGTTTGATAATAACACAAAAGTATTAAAATTAATATTGTAAGTAATCCAGGAAAGAACATTCTTTTTTTCATTGCTTCGCCTACTTCAGCTTATAGATATGTGACACATTATTTGTCAAGATAGACCTTTTATTCGAATGAATAACCATAAATGAATTATCTGAGTCATCCAAAAATTGTATTACGAAATAATATGATAATATGGTAGACCTTAATAATAGAATATTTTTGATAGATATTAGCAATACGCCAATTCAAGTATAGTTAGATTATAAGATAATTGTAAGATTGATTAAGCTATATATACACTATATTAGTGTATATATGTATATGCAGTCAACTATTGTGGCGTAGAGTTTGGCACATAGCCATTAATTTTTTCTCTAAAAAAAAATGCAAGTTGGGACAATTATGAAAAAATAACAACAGGTAACTACAATGACTCAGATGAACTTGGATTACGACATAGCCCAGTCAAGTGCTAGTTTTCAATGCCATAGACAAAAACAAGCACACCAAAGGGTCAGTGACACTCTCCTCCCCACCCAACCTTTAAGACTGTCATCACGACAATCGATAATTTAAACAACTTTGAGAAATAGCGTATGGCGATATACTACATTTTCAGGAAAGGGAGCGCAGGCGAAATCATATTCAAAGAATGTTAAACAATGAATTGTAAGTAAATTTCAAAATATCTGATATATTTGATATTTATTGATTATTATTTCGGAGATGGTGTTAATGTTAGCTAGAACTATTACATTCTTTAGATAAATCTTTTTTATTCCAAGGCGTCTTTTCAAAAAGAAGTTTTTGAAAAATTTCGGTGGAAAATGAATCGACTTTCTGCCATAAGAAATAGGAATTTTTAGTCATTCCAATTCCAGAGCAAATACCGCCATCTTCGCATTCCTTTAAGCAGTTAATAATACTTTTACAGTTTTTATATATGTTTAGGCTATTCCTTGATGTAGAATTTGTATGAACTAATCTAAAAGCCATTGATTTTCCGAATACGAAGACTTTTGATATATTTTCTCCGCTGTGAGCTAATACAGTAATTTTTGAATAATATCTAAAATCACATATCCAATGTAGGATAGAATCTTTAAGTGTGTCACTATCAGAAATTGACTCAGCAGTGCACTTTCTCTGCGAGCTGATATTAAAATTTCCAGCGTAGACTTCTAGATTTATGTATGATTTCTCAAAAACTATTAAAACAGTCTCAATGTATTGGTATTTCGCAATTTGAAATACAAACATATACTCTTTGACATTGTAAGTCAATTTTAAAGCTTGATCGAGCGTGAGATTTAATAAAGTTAATTCAATATTAGTTTGATAAGAAACTGTAAATAAAACATTAAATTATTATATTAATAATGTAATTATTATTTTATAAAATACAATAGAAACTTGCCAATATCAAGGAATTTTTCGTCAATTATAATTGCGTTCATAAAATAGTATCGTTTTTCTAACGATGCAAATGTTTGAAAAGAACCGATATCATTGACGGAAAAAGTCCCGTCAGCTAATCGACGATTGGATGTTTCGAAAATACTACTCTTAGAAGAAAATGCTATGCAATGTCTATCGGCTGGTATAGTTTTCACATGTATACCAAAATACCAAGAGCCTTTTATAGGTACAGGATTCTCAAGGATCATTTTATCATAACTGGATATTTTAGCTTCGTGTTTTACTTCTGTTGCAACTTTTAATTGATAGATTCTATTTCCCTGATTTTCCCAAAAACCTGATAAAATGAATAATGTTTACTATTAAACTATTAAACAACAATACAACAAGAAAAAATTACTCATAAAACAGCTAAAATTGTTAATTCTTAGAAAATACCATCCAATTAAGTAACCGTCAATTGCTAAGTGATGTGCTCCACCTTCAAAAATATTGGTAACATAGTGACCTTTCCCAAATTAGCTGAACTAATATCTGAATACGATGGAAGTTTTGGAAATATTCCTATTTTACAAGCACTAGGTAGAATTTGGGAAATGACTGTTACAATAAATCAATAAGTATAAAAGCTA